TTTTAAAAGATCTATTTCTTAAACCAAAAGATAAGCCTTCTTCGGTGAAAACTCATGCACCAAAATCCCCATTTTTAAAAAGATAAATTCAAAAATTAATAAAATAATTTTGAATTTTTTTTTCAATTTTTTTTTTTCATCACGACTGCAGCACCACTGGGAATTTAAACTTGTAGTTGAGTTTCAGGGGTCAAATTAGGCATGCGGCTGTTGGTGGATTAGTTCGTGATCATCAAGGAACACTTCATGTTTTTTACCGCAACAAATTTTGCTCTTGGATGAGAGCACAAAATTTTACACTTGCCATTGTCATTTACCAGGAACTGAATGTGCTCAAGACTTCCTTTATCATTTTGTCAAATGTACTTTTGCTAAACCTAGTAGACCTTGTAAAAGTGAGTTGCATGAAATTTATCGATGCAATTTTTCCCATTAATTATTTTCCTGTTGCATTGATGTAATTGGAGTGCCAACTCATGCAACATGTTTTCTAAGGTTTGAAAAATCGGTGATTCTGATATGAATCAAGCAATTTGGATTGAGAATAGTTCAGATTGATCCGGATCTTGAAAAGTATTTGGGAACAGGCCGGTTCCCCTATGAACCCGCTGGTTTGTCTTGTCCTTACCGGCTCTATTTGCAGAACCAGCAGTTCTGTCAAAGAACCAGTACAAACAAGTTCCATATTTTTTATTTTTTATTTTTTTAAACACTGAAATTGCATGTTCTTCGACATAATCAAATTGTTTAAACACTGAAATTGCATGTTCTTCGACATAATCAAAGAACCAGCTAGAACAGGTCACACTTAAATTTTTTTATTTTTTAATTGTTTTTGACAAGCATATGAGACTTTTATTGCTTAAACCTGCTTACAAGCCAATTACAAAGGATCATCAATCCTGTAAACCCGGATCGGAAATTCCAAAAGACAATCCGGGTCACCATCTATTTTTTAAAACCTTGATATTTTCATTTATATGTTAAGATCAAGTCTGGATGTGCATTCAAGTGCTGCCCAAAGCACGCTTATACGCACGCGAGGTTGGCTTCTATATTCGATATAGGGAGTGTTTGTTTTGTCGGATATGTTAATGCTGGACTGGAGAGTGGAACGTTATGTTAAGGCATCGGCCCCCCTATCGATATGGGCAGTGTTGTTCCAATTTTGTGTACAAAATGCTATGTATTTATGATGAAGCGATTTCATAGAAAAGACATTTTGCCTTCATCACCCAATAAGCCGCCGTTTTTTCTATTCTCCCCCTATGACTTACCCAAAAAAAAAAAAACCAATAAGCCGGTTTAAGCCAGCTTTGTGCATGCAGCTTTTGCCTTGAATAAGGTTTAAAATTGAGCAATTTATGTACGTACCCCAAAAGTTTACCTAAAAATACGAAGTGGGGAAATTTTGGATGGAAATTCGTGGAAGGCCGGTCAACTCGTGCTTTTTCTTTTTTTTTTTTCAAAATTACCCTTTGATTTGAGGATGGCAATTTTTATTTTTTTGAGTAGGCCATTGCCTTTAGCTCAGTGCCTAGGCGATCCGAGGTTAGAATTCTCGGACCGCCCTCTAGACTGAACAAGCCTCAGTTCCTACGCGATCCAAGGTCCCAATCTTAGAACTAGTCTTTTTTTTCTTATTTTTTGACTAAAACAGTTGTATGAGGTCCCCATCCTTGAACTGCGCTTTATTTCTGATTTTTGGAGAAAAACAACAGACAAAGGATGGGGATCCCGAACTTTCTATGGACTGAGGAGATTTCAGTTCTAGGGTGGCCCAAGGTCCCCATCCTCGGACCATGCTTTATTTCTTATTTTTTTGAGAAAACCAACAGTACTAGGATGGGGACATCATATAGCTCTACTGGGTTTTTGCAGTGTTCGTAGGGCGGTCTAAGGATTCCAACCTCGAATCGCTTGCGCATTGCCTTTAAAGCGTGGGGCACCACCATACTAACAAAAAAATTAAAATGTGGTATGAGGATGTAATTATTAGATCGAGGGGCAATTTTGAAAAAAAAAAAAAAAACGAGTTGACCGACCTTCCTTGTAATTTTTGCCTATAACTGGATCATTTCATATTTTAAGTAATTATTTTGGGTCCGTACGTAATTTACTCTTAACGTTGCTTTTTTGTTAAATTTGTTTTTCAAGGGTATCGAGGTTAATATTAGTTGGAAAGTGGTTTCATGTGGGCTGGACCACATTTCTACATATGCAGTCCAGAAAGTGTAAAGCATCCATCTTAAAGATAGATGCAAGTAGGGGTTCCCTCTAAAAATAATGAAAACTAACTAAAACTTCTTTATTTTTTCATTTTAATGACTTTCATGTTAGAGATTACATGTTTTTTAAAATTAAGTCTTAAAATCCATCTCAAAAATAGATTTATCAATAGGCCCATATTTCTATATATGCAGGCTTAGCCACATAAAAACCGGATCCATATCAGTTTAGCTTGGTTTGAAGCTCTGAGGTAGGTCTGTTAAAAAGTTGGGATGATCTCGACTCCGAACCACGCCACTTTCGGCCAGCAGAATTTGCTATCGGCAGGCTTGACCGAATAATTCTTTGTAAAGTCGGTCAGGTTCGGTTTGCGTGGACCGAACCCCTGGACCCAATATGGTCGAAGACTAGAATCCGTCGCGTGCTCAGCTGGGTCGGACTTAATTGAGTGGAGTCAACCTCATGGGTCCAGACAATGGGTCCATATTTTGATCCAGGGCGGGTCAACGGAGCAGGTCTATGAAGTGACATTTGTTGTTTCAGCAGCAAGATTTAAACTTCGTACCTATGACCTTTTGCATGCCAAGTACAAACGACGAGGTATCACATAATTGGATCATAGATACGGGACATGTTTGTGTCATTGTATTTAATGGGATAAATGGAGAGACAAGAGTATGACGTGTCCTAGTTCACTGTTTTGATCAAATTAATCTTCATAATGAGTTATTTGTTATTTAGTACTGTCCATCACAAAGACTATTTATCCTTATATAAAAGGCAGTCACAATTACTTATAATGATCATCTGATGTAAAGTTTGATAGATTAAGTGTTTCACAAATTTCAAAAAAAAAAATTTTAAACAATAATCATCCGATGTGAAATCTGATAAATTGGGTGTTTTACAAATTTCTAAAAACATTTGAACTTTGAGTTTGATCAATAAAATAAATGCAGCCACCCAATTTCACATCCAATGGTCAAGACTAATTGTGACCATTTTATACCAAAAGTAAATAGTCTCATTACATACTTTCCCAAACAACTAAACAAATAATATTATAAATAACATATTAAATCTATATAAAATGCTTTATTTCAAATAAAATTACTATCACCCAAATAAACTCTACATTTAAGATAATGATATTGCAATTTGTATAGGATGCGGTTTCTATGCAGCCAGCCCGCATATTGTAGAAATACGAGCTTGGCAATAAATATAATTTTTAAATATAATTTGATCATAATTTTTAGAGAATATATAATTTTTAACCTGAAGATCATGAATATGAAAAAACAAATACATTTTGAAAACTAAAAAAAAAAAAATATTAAGAAAAAAATTGGACCGTTGGTTGCCATTATTTTTAGATGGACCACCTATTTACATCCATCTTTAAGATGGAAGCTTTATACCTCTTGACCGCATATTGTCCACGCTACATGAAACAATTTTCCATTTGTATATCTTTGAAACGAACAAAAAAAAGTCTCAAAAAATGGTGCTGCAATGTGTATCTTTTAACAATGCATTAGCATCTAGGGCCTACGCTTTAACTTACTCCAATATGAAATTCGAAGCACCAAAAATGTTGTGGATCTTATGCATGTGTGAACTCGAGTTTACGTAATATGGACAATCTAAATAATGTATTGCAAGATATATTGTTTTACATTTCATGATCTTTTTTTCAAATCCATGATTGTCGAAATCGAGATGATCAATTTTAAAAAAAAATTGAAAGCAAAACTACATTTCCGAGATGGGGCTTATGCCTCAAACAATCTTTTCTCCTTCTCGAAGTGGAAGTAATTTGTGATACATAAAGGTTGGACATTCTTATTTGGTTGACCCATTGAGTGATCCATTGAACCAGTTATACTGGAATGTCCCTTAGAATGTTGTTGGGATTGGAACGTGTGAATGGGGTGAGCACGTGCAGAGGGAGATTGTGAGAGGTGTTGGGGCCTTGAGAGACAATGCCAGGACAGTCCACCAAAAGCCCACTCATCATATTCACCTTTTTGGTTGTTTTTAGGGTTCTTGGTTTGGGGGACCCCAACCAATGCTGTGGAATGGCGTGCTAAATGCACCATGATTAGGAGACAGCCCAATGACAAACTCTCTCTCTCTCTGGCTTGACTTAACTAATGGGAACGTGCCCTTTTATTATGTTGTGCATATTCTACTCCATGGGCTTTTGACCTCTGAAACATAATGCTATTCTCTTAAGAGATAGATTGTTTTTAGAGGCCGTTCAGGTAACAATAATTGAGTTATTTATGTATCGATCTTTTTTTTTAAAAAAAAATAAATTAAAAAAAATGCTTTATTTATGGGTGAAAATTATAAAGAAAGTCGGTTAACTTGTTTTTTTTTTATTTTAAGAAAGTTACCCCTCGATTTGAGGACATCCTTGAATTTTAATTTTAATTTTTAGTTTTTTCGTTAGTGGGGCATTGCCATAAGGGGCATTACCCTACTAACACAAAAATTAATAAAATAAAATAAAATAAAATAAAATAAAATTCAGACCGAGAATTTCATTATTTCAAAAAAATGAATTGACCGACCTTCATTGTAATTTCAACCTATAAATTGAGCATTTTATATTTGAAAAAAAAAATTTAAAGTCCGGTAAATCAAATGACAATGAAAAGTTGAAAGTAAAGTAAAGGAATATCATTTAATAAATTTATTCCGTGTCCTCTTTGTAAAGGGTCATTTCCAATGTTTCGATATATGGGGGTGTTTTATATGCCATCTCAAGGTGGTAACACCTCATCTGTTTTTGTTTAATATATTGGGCTTGAAGGTGCAGAGGTGCATTTCTCAATGCTCAAGCAAGGAGAGAGAATGAGCAGGACACCTCCAAAGCAGTACAGCAAAGTTGTTCAGCCCAATCATGGAAGGACAAAAGGAATCACCGTATCCATAATGGAACCAACCTGGTAATTCCATGAGAGAGAGAGAGAGCAGCTGCAGAGAGAAGGGAAGCAAAGACACACATCTATGCCCTGTCAACACGTGAATCAATCGCTTTATGGTCGGCGATCATTCTCTCTCCTCTGTATTTCCTATTCATACCTAAGCTACATGCATATATATACACATCTACAGTCACCGAGTTCCTGTGCACGGTTCATTTTCCATTGCTTGGAGGATATTAGTGTTAGGGAGAAGATGAGGCCATCATGTTATTTGGTATTCTTCTTGATATGCTTCATTTTGCCAAGTGATCACCAGAGCTGGGGTTTAAGGACGATTCCTAAAGGTGACACCAAGCAAACCAACCCTTGTTTCTTGCTTCTATTTTATACAAATAAACTGAATAAGTATCCATAACTTGGAGTTTGGAAACGAGGAGCGGTGTTATATTTGTAAAAACATCATATTTGTCCCAAAAAAGTAAAAGGAAGTCCTTGAATCACGTCGTCTCACCGTTGTTTTTCTAATGACAGATAAAAATGAGTTGGCCGTGCCGAAAATGGCATCAAGGAGTTCACAACATAAAGTGAGTAACATGAATGTCTTAGAGAAAGATTCCATCAGTTGAATTTGATATTTATGTACTTTCTCCCACTCTAATGTTCCATTTTAAAATGTCTCATTCAGCTTGATGTTTATGTGCTCCCCTCTGAGATTTTGCAGGGACTAGAGTGTAAAAACACAGGTAAGGGCAAAGAAGGATGCCAGGACGATGGCGAGTCAGAAGAGAGTATGTTTGAGAATGGAGACTATATCTACACCAACTCCCATCCATGAAAAACGCAGGAAACTCGCTGCCACCACCTACGCACATGATATATTGTCAGTGCATGGCAGCACTAACATTAACATCAAGCAGGAGTAAGAACTGAAGATCCCTGAAAGTTGGGTTTGGCTTTGCATCATGTGGAAGCAATAATCCAACATGTGTGAGAAAGGGGTTTGGCCTTAGCAAGAGTGTAAATCCTAGAATAACCAATTTGGACCTTTTTTTTTTTTCTTTGACGTGTGTGAGATGAGCTTGAATTTTCTTCTAGAAATGTCTGTGATACCTGTGAAATAGATTTCCTAATTGATTTCCCTTCATTTCGTTTATATATGCTGCTCTTGATTTTTCTTCTTGAAGCATCCAAAATACCCTTGTAAATAAGAAAATTGCACCAGTTAGCTTGTTATGGATAAAGGCGCCCCTTCCTATCTACGTTTCTCCATTCATGTTGGATACACTAAACATAATGTGCATACCTGGTATGGCAAAAATCAAGTAAAAACTTTGCTCCATTCATGTTGGATACACAAAACATGTAATAAGAATTCAAAGAACTGAAAATCTCCATGAAGCTGAAGGTAGCAACGCATTGAAGTTTTGAGGCTTCTATATAGTAAAAATCAAACCAAACAGCAACACAATGGAAATCGACCTTGTTACGTTACCGATATAGAAGTAATTAATTTAATATAGGTTTTTTCATGATGGAGTAATTGTGGGTTGTGACAAAAGTATCTACAAGTACTCTCTGCAATATCATCCTGGAAATGCTCACAAACGTTTTTCTTTTGGATAATTAAAATGCTTACAAACTTAGTCATGACTCTTTGACAGTAAAGATGGGAAGGTGGGTTCTACTACCAGAACCACTCATGTAGAGCATGAACTGCTTTGACATGGGTGGGTACAAGGGGCACGGAGCCATACAAGGAAATGAAGTCATTGAGGCATTTATTCCTCCTCCGGTTGTGTCCTAACAAACTGCTGATGCCAGATGCCCCTATCTCATAAATTTTTCCTGCACAGGACACAGCATAAAATGTCTCAGAGAAAGTAAGACTAATAATTAATGCAACGAACAACCACTATTGATAAAAGATAACAATCCTTTTCAGGGTCATCAAACAGAAACTCTCACATTTTTTAAACAATAACCACAATGAATAGTTTATTTTTGAACTTGCTTTATTTATAGTTCCAGAACTCATCAAGACATGGCATTTCAGAAAATTCATCTATTTTGTGAGACAATATCTAAAGATGGTGCAGTTAAGCCAAAACAAGGTTTATCCACGATTTGATGCGAAAACCAGAACTGTAACTTCACCTGGAAACAACCTGTCATTGGTTTAGCAAGAAGGGTAGAGTGGCATTTTCTTGGTATGAGCCCAGCAACATGAATTTAAAAGTGATACTTAATTGCTGCCAGTCGGAAACCTCTATTATTTTCCCTCTAAATGACAAGAAAGCTGGAATACTACTCTCAATCATAAGGACTTATTTCATACAATTGGGCATTAGCTTCTAAACAAATTAAGGATTGACAGACCAAAATTGGCCCGTACATCTGTTATTGTTTTGGCATCTGTGCATGCATTTGGTGCATGTGAAAAACAACCAACTACAAGTTCGCAAAAAATATAGAAATATAAATATCATATGGATATTTTATATATGAGCTGGTGTCATCTTCATCCTCCAGGTCAACAAATAATTTGCAAACTAACAAAACATCCTATAAATGTTTCCACCAATATGAGATCCCTCAGTTCTTTAAACTCTGATGACCATGGCCGACTGGGAACTTACTGTAGCCATGGAAAACCCAAAAAGGAAGCATCTCAGCCGTGAAGCTCTAAAAAAACGTACTCAAATAGAAAATGGCCAATGCAATAAAAATGAGATGTGGTTAGATTTCCAATACTGAGAAAAAATCTAACCAATTTTAGTACAACTAGTTCTTGAAGCTTTCAGTTTCCTATACCGGTGCTTTAGAATATAGCTAAGGAGAAAGGACAAGGAAATATGAAAGTAACAGATTCCACAATCGATGAAGAAAATCTTCCTTGATCAGAAAGAGTTCATAGGTTTCCCTTATGCATCATATATACAATTGCTTGTGATCTTAATGCACCAGCACCAGGGCTATAACAAAATGACCATATTGAACCTCGGAATAGTCAGAAACAGGCAAGCAGAAAAAAAATGATTAGTGATTGATGGGCAGCAAAGAGAAGGAAAAGTTATTTCACAGAAGTTATATAACATGAATTCAAAATGGCTAGATAACAATTCTCCCTCCAAGATGGATATGGGCCATAGAAGAGCTTGGCCCCGATGTGTGAGGCAAGTCTGAAACATGCAAAAATGAGTTGCGCAGATGATTTTGGGCAGCGTTTAGATAGGGGTATCTAATGCATTAGAATATAATGTCCCTAAGGATCCTACGGCAGTCAAGGTGATCATGGCTAGGCTGCACCTTGTGGTGTACAGTACACAATCAAAATGCTCTAAATCCCCTTTGTATGGCTTGCAATGGGGTCACACCCCTGCATTAGCAATTTTTTATGCATGCAGTCCAAAACCAGCTTTGAGTTATATGTTTAAAAATGGATGCATTGGGTGCACAACAAGGTCCTGCAACATTTGTGTGGGGCTAATCATTTCTTGTG